CTCTCCGCGGGCGCTGCCGGGCGGCCGCGCGCATCCTCCGCCAGCAGCCTGCTCGCCTAATTGCAGCTGGCATAGCTGCACAATGCCATGCGATTCCTCGGCTCCCCAGGGAACAGGGAAGATCTCCATGGAAACAGACAGTAGCACTTGTTCTTTTGATAGTATTCTGACACGGCTGTAATAAAACTTCATTTATGACAATGCATTACTGTGGTTTCACCACAGGTTTTTGCAGACAAGAGCTGCCATTGCTGCCATCCGTATACTGGTTTGTGTTCTGCATGTTCCTCCCACGTATCAAGAAATTGTGCTGTGACAAAATGGATGCATAAGCAAAAGAGGACATTTAGGGCAGGGTTGTTTGGGTTTTTTTAATCGGACCAGAAGATCTGCATTATTTGGTGAGAAATCGCCCAAAAGAACACTAAAGACTCAGTTGATTGCAGGGTGGATTATTAATGCGGCTCCTCCCACTGAGGGAGACAGGGAATACAGATCCAGAAGCAATTACACACCCAACTTGAGAGCAAAAGAGCAGTGTGACGGCGAGACATTTCACTACTTCCAGATCTACAGGACACTAGAGCAATATGGAGGGAAAAAGGCAACAGCCTCGGTTTCCTCGGGGTGTGCCTGCCCGAGGATGCTGCATCCATGGTGGGAGGAGGGAAGTGGCAGCAACAAGGAATCCAGATGCAGAGGAGGGAAGGGAGATGCTTTGATTTTGGACAGTTCAATCCAGACAAGGAAGACAGTTACATATTTCATTACAATCGCCCCCCAAAAGTGGAAACTGTTTCCAATTTCTTGGCTTTTAAAACATTCCAAACCAGACGTGAAGTCACAAACTCAGCTGCTGTAAAACGACGGGTTTCTCACACTGGGCATGGAGGACTGGTTCCCCTGCCACACTAGAGTGGCTGGTGGATAAATTCCACAGACAGTCCAGTTTTATCCAATTCTTGCTGTACGGTCTCAGCAAAGACCAGCACTACTTATGTGCTCATAATTAATTTTCTATCAGTAGTTGATTTCAGCCGTGCTGTTGGCAGAAGCCAGATAATACTGGCTGAAAACCAGTGAACGGTGCTGAGGTTTGCTTGGCCAGCGCCACACAGAAGTTGGCACACGGGGACAACTTCCAGAGATGTAAAGATGTTGAGAAAGTCCTAGAGACTCGACAGCACACTTCAAAAAGGAAGGTTACAATAACTAAGTTTAACATTCAGAGCTTTAAATACATTCACAGTTTTGACAGGTGATAAAAAAGACAATTTAATTTTATGATCATAGGCTTGTGGTAATTACAGGCTCCCGTTCCCAGAACATAAGCAGCAGTGGGGTAACGGCATTGTGGTGCAGCTTCCCCATCACCTCTAGCAGCACACAGAGGCAGTAAGCACACCCCAGCATTCACCACAACCTGCCTCCCTGCTGCAGTCAGTGTGAGAACCAGTCCCGTCCCAGTACCAGACGGGGTACAGCCTGCAGCATCACCTGAAGGTAACAGCGTCCTGTTGTTTCTAAACCAGCAGCATGGGACAGAACCGAGAGGTTCAATTTGCACCTTACTAGAAGTCTACAAAACAGTTCAATGCTATCAGCTCTTCCCATGAAAGGCCAAGCATTCCTCATTCTTGCAGCCTGCACAATGAGCAAGGAGACCTTAGAATCTGGGAGAGTACGATATTATGTGGAAAGTCTTTTCATTTCTTCAAGTTTCAAGCTTCTCTGTGATACTGAACACATTTAAGCACTTTTTAACACTAAAAAGAAAATAATAGCTGGTGACAGTACACCATGAAAAACTGTTTCCTAACACGCTCCCTCTTTCCAGATTTTTCCCAAGAAAAAAAGTGAGAGCGGGGAAAGGAAAGAAGAAAGCAATTGAAACATACTTCATTAACAGTTTCTGAGTTCTAGCTTGGGGTTGTCAAAGAGGCAGCACAGACACTGGAAAGACAACCTCCCCTCTAAGTTATTCTAGCAGGCACGGCCACAAAAGGATGCTATCACTGGTAGTGCGAGCATGAAGTATACTTTGTGGCAGCAACCTTGGCAGATCATCGTATGTTTTCCTCAAATGCTGCATTTGGCATCTGTATTGGGAAGAGAGGAAGGAAATGCTACTGAAACAAAGACGTGGCAGGCTGAGCCCTTGCATTTTTGGCAGCAGCAACAGCTAAGCAGCTGCCAACACAGCTATAGGCTCAGTTCCCTGTAGCTGTAGTGCCCAGAGGAGGTTTCAGGAAGGAAATCATTGCTCTCCTCTCCCTCCCCCATCACTTCTTTTCCATGAAACACGGTAGGGACAAGAAAATGGCATAAAACACAGCAGCAAAGGCCATCATCGTCTTCAAAACAGAAGGCAGCAGGGGTGCATCAAATGCATTTATTATCCTAGAGAGGAAAGCAAGCAACTGGACTAAGAACGGGGTACTTACCTAGTCATTTCCAGGTGAACTACCCAGAAGAGAACAAGCACAGAGGAGATACCTGAAAATTATGCTGCTGCTTTATCCAGGCATTATGCCCATAGAAATAGCTGTCCTTACAGGTGAAATGGTGGTCAAGTTCAGTGCAAGAAGCAAGTATGTTAATTGTGTGAAATTCCAGTAAGGACCGAGGCAGGCTCCCGTTACGGTATGCTCTTATTTTCACGCAGCAGAGCCAGCTGCTGAAGCCAATCTCTCTATTTTTATTGCCCAAATTTCATCCAAAGGTATTTCCCATTTTCTTTTCATCTAGCTGGAGAAGAAGGTTTCTTTTTGGCAAAGTATCATGAATACACATGGAAACCACATCTCTCATCTGGAAATCTGATACAAGTACTAACTCCCTCCATGCCCAAAGGAAAAGACAGACTGGCTGTAGCTCCTCTGCCATCCCTGTGAGCTGAACCCGAGCATCACGGGTCCAGATGTGAACTGTAGCAGTTTGTCAGGGACTCAGGCCAAAATTTCAAGCAAGCTGTACCAGAAAGCCAATGTAATGGCATATATGGCCCTGGAAATGTGGCCTCGAGATCCCAGTCCTTTCGCTTTACACTCTGTTTCATGGGGTGTCAGATGCAATCACCAAGAACTCCTTGTCCTTACTGCCCATTTACCATTCAGATTTTGGAGCACAAACTGTTTGTTTTGGATTTGGTAATCAATTTCTAAAGCACATGAAAGGATCATCAATAGTGGGGGGCGGCGGGGGGAGAAGGAATTAAAAACATCTTTGCTAACCATCTGTGTTTGAATAACAGCAAGCTATATGGGCCCAAACATACAGTATTACTCAGAGACCAGTAAGAGGCTGAACTGCCAACAAGTTCTGAGCTAAAAACCATGTTGCTGAAGAGACTCTACAGCAAAGAAGTAAAACAGCTCTTGAATACATGATCTTTAACTTGGCATATACTGACATAAACAGGATGCCTGTATCACTGTCCAAACATCAGCTATTTTCCTTGAACTCCCCTTACTCTTATTCCCCTTCTTAGTGGTGCGGACAAAACAGCTAGACTTTCTAGATGTTACTGCAGATGTTTTGTAGGCAAATGGAGATTTTACCTTTCTCCAGAGTACAGATTAAGCATTTGTTTCACCAGACACACACAGGCTATGGTTTGGATGTTTCTGTTTATCACTTCTTACAATTCTTCCCCAAAAATATTCTCTCTCCCGCTCTCTTCCCACCTAGGTCAATTCTTCTCATCCCTTTTTTATTGGCACAGAGACTGGGGGGTTTTGGACTTCCATGCTGTTGACTGTCTACAGCCACACCTAGTCCCTAATTGTGTATTTCACACACAACACTTTGGTCAGAATTCTATCAGTTTCACAGAATTTCCAACTTCTAGTCCGCTGTTACCTGACATGACTGAGACATGCGGCTCACCTTTCTCACGTTTCCTTCCTTACTGCCTCAGAACAAATGCATAAACCTCTACTCCTATCCACGTTCTTCCACACACAGTCCAGAACTACCCATATGTAGGTGCACGTTGCTCTCTCCTAAATAAACTTACTGGGTTTGCGTTCACAATGTTCATCGTACAACTGACTGCAGCATCACTCACACACTAAGGTGTATGTTCCGGTGCTTTTCTGAAGGAATACTGTCAAAAGTGCACTAACCTTAGGCCATTGAATAGCTGTTTAGATTTATCCAATAAGTAGCAAAAGTCTGTCACTGTTTTCCTCTCTGCTTGAGGAATATCATCTTCAGCTCCTCCTGATGACATGATTTCTTTTAGGGCAAACTCAGTCCTATGAAGAAGAAAATAGCCATATTACTCAAAAATTGAGGGCTACTATGAACTCATCCAGATTAGATGCACGTACAGTTCCATGGGGATGGTAACAAAGAGCATGCAATTCTCCCACAGGTTACTCTTCTCAACACTCATTAAAAATAACAGCTGAGAATCAAAGCATGGGACTAATTACTGCACAATGCACTAGTTAACAGAGCAAAATTAAAAATAAAAGTGGTACAAGAGTCATAAAATAAAATAACTCCGAGGACTGTATTCACAAACACAAAACTGCCAACAAAAGGACTGTAACACAAACAGTACTTGGGTTTCATACTTGGACAAAGGAATCCTCTCTAAATTTGCCTTTCCACAGAGGTGTTTATCCTGCAGCTGTATTTAGAGAGACTAGCCTCAGTTCTGTTTACATGCCATTTTCTTCTGTAACTGCTGAAAACCGTAGCTCACTGGTTCCTACTGCTAAAACACAGCAATTTTAGACAGAATGCTAAAAAATATCCTGCTTCCTCCCTACTTCTCATGACGGTTTAATTCCATGGCTTGCACTGCCCAAAATTATACCTGCAGATCTACTTTTACTGTTCATATGAGCAAAACGTCATATTGTACAGTATTCACCTGAACAAAAACTAAGATATAATGTAGATAATCCTAGTACTGAATACGTAAGGGAATATGAAAGCCTGTAAAGGCAGAGGGCTTTTAAAATCTTACTTGAAACATACAGATACAAAATTATCCTTTTGATCATCCAAAAGCGAGCAACAGATTTGTCAGCTGCAGCCACAAAACATGCTCCTCCGAAAATGGCTGCCAGGCCTTCAGCTCTTCTGTGCTCTCTAAGAATTTTAGTGCAGGATAAACACACCTCTAACCGGGCAAATGCAGAGCTTTTACTTTCGGCAACTTCTCTACCAGTTCTGGTAAGCACTTTCGTTAAGCAACGTTTCCATTTGTGCAGCAGCTCTGTTTGGATGCTATTTGCACAAATAATTTACCTACAAGCCCCAATTCAAGCCAGAAAACGGCAGAGCTAGCTCCTTACAGTCAATGGAAAGTACCCGGAAGCATCTTTCATCAATTGTCATGAAAACCTTCACAATAACCAAAACGACTTGAGAAACACTTCCCTGAACAAAACGCTTCATGCCTACCCAATCCAGCAGAAATTGGCAGTTCCTGCCCAGCTTTGGGGGATAAACTCGTGAGCACAGCCTGCCCACCAAGCAGTTCCATGATCTCCCAGTTTAGACAGGATGCAGCTCACATTCACTGGTCTTGACACACCCACGTGCCGGGGCACTAGAGCACTAGTGCGAGGCCAAGTGGCACACGGCACAAACCGCGTGTTGAGGAGTTCCAGCAAAAGGTAGGAAGTACCTAGGTACTGCCAGGTAACTGCAACATGGGTGCCAGACAGCGTAAGGGAGTTCAAAACACACCAACCAGATGTCAAACGCTGCAGGCATGAGCCTCGCAAGCAGGACACAGGATCGTGAAGCACCGGCCTGTGTTTGAAATCTCTCAACATTTACATTCACACAGCACAAAATGAACAACACCGAGCAGTTAAAGCACAACGTATGAAATCGAAGTGAACAGTGAGAGCTGAAAAAGCGATGTCAGAAGTAGCCAGGAGAAGTGAGTCGGGAATTTCAGGAAGAGGGACCCTACCCCAGGTCCTGTGTGCTCCGCAGCAAGGGTGACCTAAATCCTGCGGCGAGGCCCTTGGATCCTGCAGCGCTCCACTGTGGTAGCCCAGGCACTCTACGGCAGCTTCGGATACATTTTCAAAAATTGAGGAGCTTGCTTAAATTGCAAAGTATGTTTAATACAGCCTGTATAGCATTTCTTTAACTTAGTGGTAAAGACAATTTTATTTTATGCTATGCTTAGTTGTACCATGCAACTACCCCAACCGCTGCTGACACTGGCCAGCTGAACTGGCGTTGGCCCAGGCAAGTAATGCCAACTGCAGATCTTGCAGTGAGGGAGGCCACTAGACCCGCTGCAAAGAGGGCCACTTATGCAATCGATAAAAGATATGCTAGAAAATTCACTGCCTGCCGACCTGAAAGGTATCAGAAGGCAGGAAAAATACTTGCTGCAGAGAAAGGAGAAAAAGACCTCCTTTGGGTTACAGACAATTAAGGTGTATTTTGAAAGCCTGCTCCAAGCCCTGACAGTTCCTAAATATTTAGCACAATATTAGTTTGTGGAAAATTACAAGAATGGAGAGAAATAAGGGTGGAAAAAAAAATCAAGAGGGGAAAAAAAAAAAAGGAAAACAGAGAAGAGGAGGAAAAAAGAGAGATTACCAAACTGAAAACAATACATTGGAGAATACTCTGTACGGTCAGCCTCCTGTACGGCTGTTGGCACATGGGTTTGGACCTATTACTGAAGCAGAGGGCAAAAGCACCTTTTCTGCTCATGGAAGGAAACTGCCAAAAGCAGAGGGAACAACCTGTCTTCTCATCCGAGACTGCTGCTGAGGAGCCTAGGAAACAAACCACATTTAAGCACATTCTGACACTGCACAGAGCCCTGAAAGATTAGCATACCCTGGAGACGCTCCACTAGCACATTCAGCTTTTCCTTTATTCACAGGGTAAGAAATGAAAAAATGATTGTTGCAATCAAGCCACACAGATGGTATTAAGGCAACTAGTAGCCTGAGTTTAGGCTAAAACGTGGTATTAAATAGCTGGGGTGAGGAGTAAGAGGCAGAGACTTACATGGAGAAGCATTCAAAAGGAGCACACTTAGAGAAGTCAGGGATTTACTTTTTGAAAGCGAGGACATGATGTTAAGTCTCAGTCACTCAAACTTATATCCAGAAAAGAATCCCTACTGGTAAAACAGATTGTTCCACACAAGACATGAAGCTACAGTACCTGCAACATTACACCTTCGCTTCACAGCCGAGCAAGCTGAAATCTTAAAAACCACATACACAAACATATATGCATCAGGACTTTAGCTTGTATTGCTTTAGAGCTCAAAATATCAATAAACGCCTGATCAAGTTCCACTTTAAAGTAAAGTTGCCACAAGCACAAAATGCAGAGACCTAAAAAAACCCAAACCAAACCGTAAAGCACGAGAAACCCACATAGGAAAGGAAGGGATGGGAGAACAAAAAATTAATTCAAATACAGAGATAGATTATTGGTTCAGGGGGAAGACAACAAAACCCTGTATCCTCTAAAATTAGTATCTTGGGAAAAGTTCAGGTTAATTTGCACAGAACAACTTTGGTTTTTACAGAGGGCCTGCCTGCCAGCCAGTCGTACAATGGTTAAAGACTTCCAAAACAGCTGTGTGTCCCCTAAACTTAGCAAAGACAATAAAAACTAGGCTGTGTGGAAAAATGTAACAGCCCCGCCGCACATCACTACCCCTACATTTTCTATTGTTTAAGCAGAGGATGCCCATGACAAACAGGGGATGCTCTCAGTGGTCTGGGGGTTACCATTGTGAAGCACCATTACTGAACGTGACCGAAACACTGCTTGAAAACAAAGAGCTGTGCTGGTATCACTGAGGTGCTGCAGCTCAAACTCCGTGTGTACGTGACGGCAAAACTTTCACAGACTTTCTGCTAAAACTTCTAAGTTTGTCCACGATTTGAATTTTCGTTGAAAACCAATACTCAGCAATAGGACGTTGATCCAAAATAGGCTGAAATACAGCTAATAGTAGTAAACTAAAAACTCATTACAGGTGCTGTGTGAAAACATCCCTAGTGCTCAGCATTCCAAACACGCCTTCTACCTGGTTCTCATCTGGATTGCCATATGTATTTCATATGACATAAAAGAAAGACTTGCATGTTAGACCTGGAATAAAACACTGAATGCATACTTTCATCAGCATGCTTTGAATTACACATGTAATGCTTATTCTAAAAACGTCTTTGAACAGAAATCTCCGTGAGAAACTCAAAAATATCTGCCCTGTATCATCAGAGTCAGTAAAAATTATCTGCCAGCTTTTCAGACGTGCTCAGCCTAACTTCATTGTCAAACAGTGTGATGGTGCATCCTTCTCACTCAACTTTAAGCACCTAAACAGTAAGGCAAATGCAAATATTAATCTCATTTTCTACTGATGCTTTTAAAGGGAGGGCAGTGACCAGACAATCTAAGACATCAGAATGAATGGAGAAGGCTCTGGGTGCTTCTGAAAAGCAATTCCATTAGTACATAACAAATTAAACACAGAAGTCTCAATGGGCCCTCTTTATTTCTGGGCCACTTTATAATAAAACAGCTAAATCACAGTTAAAAGTAAAATGAAACAAAACCTTAGTTACCCATACAGTTATGAAACTCTCTCTGTTCTTAATGACCTGAAGATGTAAGCACAATTGCCTGTGGGACAGAACAGACACAACAGCCCCAGCACCGCTGGGATGACAGGAGTATGCGCCAAACAACCAACTTCGGACAGTGATGATGGATGAGATCAAGTTTCACTCTCTTGCAGGATAATTAAAGGTGTATTCTGTCTCTGCCACATACAGCACTCAGAAAACAGGAGTACCTATACACTACCCAGTGTCTTTACACACATAGATGGTGTAGTGGAAAGTCCTACTGAAAAATCCTTAAAGGTTACACTAAAGAGCAAGCACGAGCCCTGCTCAGAATGGACTGGTTTCTTACTCACTACATGTCAACTTTATCTTCACAATGATTATAAAATAACACCATACAGAAAATACATCAAAAAAAAGTATTCAGACTGAATCACATCATGAGCAAAGTCTTCCTTATAGGAAAAAACAGTCAGGAAAAGAAATAAGGGGTTCAACCAAGAAAGAAATAAAAGCAGTGAAGAATTAAGCGCAGTGGTAATAAGCATGACAATTTCCCTCTGGGAGATATCTTTAGAAAAGCTGCCAGAAGGTAATTTTTCTGCATATCTCAAACTCAAAAGAAGCATTTTGGTTACAGACACGAGACAGGCGCTGCTGCAATTCAAACCCTGGTTTCACTCAGCCACAGCACATGCCTGAATATGAAGGAAAGATGGGAAGGGAAGATGGAAAGAAAAAGGACAACAGGAGCTGTTAATGATATGTGAGGCTGGCTTTTCTAGAGAAGCGAAACATGCACTGGTTTTGGCTTATCATGCTCTGGAGGGGGTGGTATTTGGTGCTGTACAAAGAACAAACTACTATCACGAGCAGCAATGGAAGGGAGGAGGTCTTCCCTGCACTAAAGGCTGTTGTAATGCAGCAGCATTACAGACAGGAGAAAGAATTATTATTAGAAACAGCAAGTGGGCACAGCAAAGGGAGGAATATAGCTACTGACATCGCCCTTTCCTCAGGGACTGCTAAGCTCCGAATGAAAAATATAAATAAAATGCAACCAGTAGTGCATCCACAATGTGGACCTCTCCTTCTCTTTGATACTAGAAGAAACTCCACAGATCTCTGCTTCTCTTCTGCAAACAGACAGCTGCCCCAGTTTTGACAGCCCAGCTATACCAAAAATATCACCTACTTAATTTTTTGTTCTGTGTTTGATGCTTTTTGCTCTCTTTCACGCAGAAGAAATTGTTGGGCTGTTCTGCATGACAATTTTTCTTCTTTTTTCTTCAGTAGCACATGTTAAAAAAATTACCTCCAGAGTCTGCAAAAGGAGACACTGAAACATTGGTTTAAAAGACTGTTAAAGTAAGTCAGAAAATGGTGACTTCTAGCAGAACTTAGTATTTTCTCAAAGATTTTGCCAACTCCTCAGGCCATACAAGGCAGAAAAATTGTGCTAGCCAAGCACTGCACTTGGCGTGCCAGGTTCTTTCCAACACTCTCAGAACGCACAATTCCAGGTTTGCTCAGTACAACACGTCAATAGAATCTACAAATTCATCCCATTGCAGCACCCAGGGTAGAGGAGCTTAGAGGCACCCCAGAGGATGGCAACACCGTGCAAAACAGCTGGAGCTGACAGGCAGCGGGAGGAGGGGTATGGGAAACGGATGAAAGTTTCATGATGCTAGCCAGTATTTTTAAAGTTATGTGTCACTTACATCACACGTTTCCACTTCCCTGTGGTTTGCCGTCTTTTGGCTAAGGTTTTCCAGGCTCAGCTGGAAGGGAAAAAGAGTGCTGAAGTCACCAGTATGCACTCCCCACCGGCCCTGCGCTGGGACTCCGGCCTGCGCTGCGAGGCATGCTTTGTGAACAGTGAGAGAACACTCTGGTTCGAGGAAATCGGGCTGACAACGACAGTCAAGCGTGGATGTGTTAAATAACTGTACTGCACGCGCACCCCCTTGGCCAGATTTGTTACTGAGGATCGCCGAAACCTGCCCTTCAGCTGCCTGGTAGGAGCGGGTGGTCAGAATTCACGCCTGGTGCTTCCAAGCAAATAAAACCTCATTCCAGAGAAAATTCAGTGATACTGCGACTGCATGGCTTACTGTACAGGTGGCGGGTAGGAGCACGGAACTCTGCTGAGCGAGGACAGGTAGAATCAGGGGCAGTCTCCTGAGCTGCATAGCAGAGCTGGCTGGACGTGGCGCCTTGACCTCCCGACAGAGGACTTACACAACCCATCTGTCTTTTTTTAAGCCCTGGCTTCTGCTCAGTTGTGGAATCTTGAGGGTCTCCAGCCTTCCAGTCCACCTGGACAGCTTCAACACATGAGTATTTAGAGGATAAAATCTGCGAGTACCTATTAGCAGCGTTTTATCTACTTCACCTAAACAGTCAATTGAAAGAACAACTCTCTTCTCACTAGAGTATCAGCATTAGACTTAAAACCCTCGTCTTGTACTAGAGGCAAACGATCTCAAAGACTTTAGCAGCGTATTTGTTCTATCTGGTATTTTACCAAGGAAATTAGAGTCTGTACTACGGAACACGAGCAGTGTGGAGCAGATACTTCACACATGATACACAACCCGTCTTTCTTACTTCAAAAACCAGAAGAATTTAGTCTTATTTTTTATACATTTATACTTTATCACTTTCAGGAGAAAAGAGTATGATTTTGTAAGTATAAGCATGAGCACATCTTTCAGAAGCAACTCTTCCAAAAAATGAGAACACGTCACCCGTTGTGTCATTTAACAGGTGACCTCGCGCACCTTACAAATACTGATCTCCACGGCGTTCCAGCCCTCCACAGATAAAGTCTGGATGTTAAACATTCACACTATGTACAGGAACAAATTTATTACAATGCAGAGAACTGATCAACGTGTCCCAGTGAAGCTTCTTGGCTAAAATTAGGACAAGAATCTGTATTTTATTTCAGGCTCCAGCTGTTTTGATCACTGAGCCTTCAGCTCTGTGCCTTACATAACCCACACACAACCTTCTGAACAGGCCAGCAGGTGCAAACCCAACGGGACAAGCCAGGACGGTTAATGCTGGGCACAGGGATAAGTGGGAGAAGAATAATTTTTTTTTTTTTTTTTTTGAAGAAATGCTCTTGTTTCTTTCACTCACCCGCCTGAATACTGCAAACCAAGCAGTGAACCAGGGTGCGTTGACCATAATGATTAACCTTTAGCCTGAGAATCAGGATTTTCTGTGACAGATGTAATACAGAACAGTGAACTGCCATATCGACTACACGACTTAAACTCTTGCTGATCTGGAGTTTCATTGCTTGCATCAGACAATGTTTACAGTTGAGGCTCTGATTATTATTAAAATTCTGGAGTTGAGCAGGAAGTATGTGTTTAGACAAGTGAGCTAATGATAAGGGTAAGTGATGGCTGCATCCTGATTCACAACTTCACGGAGAGTTTTACCATTTTAATCAGGAAATCACAGCACAGAAATATAAACTGTTTTTCAAATGCTTCCCACTCCTTACTGAGAGATGCAAGTGGTAACCAAAAAGCAAAAGCAAACACACTTTCTATGCCTATCTTGTTGATACAGGAATTTCCCCAAACGAAGACGTTATTAGAACTGTTCTCCACAGAAACCAACAGCAGAAAACACATTCCAATCTATCAGGATTTTAAAGGTCTCAAACCTCGAGTCAAGGAGACCAGATCTCTTTTCACTTTTCATCCTGACGCATCTCCAACAGCATCACTGCCAAAAGGGGATGTGATCTAAAGCCAGATGCCCAGTTGGTACCCACTTCTTATCCATAAATTAGTAACGCAGATAAAACTAAGCTGTTGATCAGTCATACCCAAAGCCTAGAACCACCACGTCTCAAATCTTTACTGAGAAACACGCAATTTTATCTTCGTCAAGTAAGATGTCTACCTTTGCTCTCTATTTGCCTCTCCTTTTCTTACACAGACTGGCATACTCTCCTCTTGTGTTTTCTTTCAAAGCTATACTGCACGTTTTGGGAAAGCCATCTGTGCGTTTCCATGTAATCTGCTCAGAGTGCTAGTCCTGACAGAGCCTCAGACAACACAAAATTAATTAGAACTCAAATTCATTCCTCTTGCCAGAATACCTAATTCTCCGTAGAGAACCGCTGTCCCGAAGCTCCTGAGACACCACTCGGTTCTACTCAAGAAACACTGAAATAAATAAATAACACCCCCCCCCATGCACACGAGCACACACACACTGAAAGCTTCAGCCTGCTGGAGCCAGTACTTCAGAGGGAATGGCAGGGAGCAGTTACACGTCAGACCATTTCTTTATAAAATATATTGGGGGGGGGGGG